TATGGTGAAGCTAACAGATCAGGAGACGATGGCCATTGAGAAGACAGATTATTCCTTATAGTTCCCAGGAGGAGGGGACACACCATGCCTCCATGCAGGGCCACGGGGAGAACACCGAGGTTGGTCCAGACAGAGAGAGAGTGGGGAACTGTGTGCAAGAGCCTTTCATGGTTTTTGAGGGAAGGAATGTGTGCAACACAGGGTAAGCAGGCTAAAGAGGTCTTGGATTGGCTAGTTTGAATTATTCCATTGGCTCCAGAGCTGCCCTTAGTTGTCTGATACTGGCCCTAGGTGGTTGGGGTCGGGGAATAGCGGCCCTGAGTGTAAAAGCCCCTAAAGGACGTGGGTAGGGGTACAGGCTCTGGCTTGGTTGGTTTGCAAATGAAACTCTTTCTTTCTCTAGGAATCAGCTAACCCTGGGACAGGCAGTCCATCTCTGGCCCCAGCATGTCAAACCATCAGTACAGAAACTAGAAAACATGGTTCATACAGTATAATTGTTTTTCCAAAATTGAAGTTTGCTTATATATATTTCAGCATGTTGCCTTTTTCACATAAAAAATGTGACAGAGGATATATTGATCTACATTTTTTAAACGACTGCGTAGTATTCTCCCAGATATATATACAATACCTTATTTAACCATTCTGCTATTTATGTTTGTTATTGTTAAAAGTTATTTCCAATTTTTCACGATCATAAACAATATGGTAATGAAAATCCTTACATACTTTTTGTGTCGGTGTATAGTTCTATAAGATTCTTAAAAGTGGAATTTCTGAACCAAAGGGTTTACATGTTACAAATCCATAATTTAATAAATTAAGTACTTAGTTTAATAAATCACAATTCACATTTAATCTGGTTTAATTCCAAACAAGTGAAACAATTTGCGTTCTCACCAGTACTGTATGGAGAGGGCCCTTTTTCTCATACTCTCAATAATACAGGATTTTATCAGTCTTTTAACTTTTAGTGAGTTTGGGGAAACAATGCTTGCAGTCAACCACTAACCAAAAAGTGAGCCGACATGAAAATATTAATATCAGACAAAAAGAGAATTCAAGGCAAAAAGGATTTAGGAGACAGAGTGATATTTTATTTTGATGTTCACCCTCTACCAAGGAAATAAAACATCCATACGCCCTCATGTATTTTAATTATATAATTGCCAATGGCAATTTCATGTGGTTCAGCCTAATATTTATTACATAGCTACAAAACATATAATGCAAAGATTCAGAAATATAGGATAAATTGCTAAATCAATGCTTATCATAGAAATCTTCAGAATGTTTCTTTCAAAGATGAGCAGATCAGGAAGAATAAATAAGGATAAAGAGGATTTGAGTAACATAATTAACAAGCTTGACCTACTAAATATGTGTAAATAAACAGAGTATAAACTTCTTTGCAAATTTCTATGGCATATTTAGTATCTACCAGCACACACACAAACATCTTAGATTAATTGAAAAGTGTCTGGAAATAATGATTACTATTTTAATATATTCATAGTTTAGGTTATATCCTAAGGAAAATGTGTCCACAGTAGGAGTAAACAAGAAAAGGCAGGATGTTTCAATCAGGTTTTGTGAACAGAGAAAAGCCGATCACAGGGAAGAATGCCTCGGCCCCCTGTGTGGCTCCGGAGAGGACCACTCAAGCTCTGGGGCCGTCTCTGGAGCCCCCAGGGCCCCTCTGTCTTGTCAGCACCCTTCTATTTCTGGGTTAAGGAGCTCAGCCTTCTCATCCGTGGCTTCAGAAACACATCCTCCTAATCCAGGGGAGTCAGAAGACTTAGGACAAAGACAGGTGAGAGTAAGCAGTGGAGAAACCGTCTTCAGGAGTTGGGCCTGGTGTGAGGGAGACACCCCGACTACGCAGTCTCCCCCTTCAAATCCTCCTGGCGGTCCTGATCTGATTGACATCAAGGGGTACCTACTGCGGTGAGGCGGGAAGCCCTGACCACTCGGCCAGGGCTGTGGATGCCATCGTTGCCTTTCTGGGAGAAGGTATGCCAGACTAGATCCCGCAGCCAGGTCTGAAGACAGGATGGGGGTCATGCCTGTGTATTAAGGAGGTTTCTGCCTCCTTATGTCTCATAGTAAAAAATATCGAAGAAGGTAAGAGCTTTCTTCCTAGCCTAAAGTACAGGAAAGAGTGAGACCAGAAGGGAAACAAATGTATGTTTTCACACAAGAAACACATACAGGTTTGGTTTGGGGGCAGAGGTCAGAGAAAGCCCCTTTATTATCTCATTAACTCACTTAGGGAGGGTCTTTGCTGTGTGGGTTTCGAGGCTTCAAGTCCTGGGTGATGACTCTTCCTTCCGTTTCTTGGATTCACTTAGTGGGCAGGTAAACAATTACGTACTTTTTTTTTTTTAATGTTAATGTCAGATATGGGTGACGCTAAGTCAAATCCTAGAAGGACAGGAGTCTCGCCCACGTGGTACAGATGTGCTAGTTACCAGAGAATATGGCTCACCTGGGGAATCACCAGCAGGAGAGCAGTGAGTCGCTACCTAAAGGTGCCGATTCAACAGTCTGAGGCTACGTCCAGCTCATTTTTCAAGTTCGATCTTATGACGTTATCATGTTTTCAGTTTTTCCCTTGAGAATTATTTTAGTTCTCCTTTCTATTCATTTTTCTTAGTGACTTCTAGAACATTCTCTACTGGTCTGAAGATGATGTCACTTTCTTCTCTTAAGGCAGCCATATGTGATACCTATTTAGTCACTTATTTATTTTTTTATTTAGAGCCACTTTCTAATTTTTTTCTTATATGTAAAATTTTTTGAAAAATATAATTTATTCATTTTTAATTATAAAAGTTGCAATAGAACTATATGAGTTAAAAATTGAAAGTTTCTCACACAACCCCATTCTTCAGAGGTAATTGCTGTTAATAATTTGGTGTATGCTCTTTGATTATACACTTACTGATCTTTTTTTATACAGATGAGATCCTAGTAAGCATGCTGTTCTGCAATTTTCTTTTCTTCAAGTAAAGATGTATCTTGGGGATGTTTTCAAACCATGACATACAGACTTGTCTTGTTCTTTGTCATGGCTGAATACTATTCCATTGTTTTTAACATGCCATGATGTATTTTGTTAATTCTGTACGGATAAATATTGAAGATGCTCTCTATTTTGGAGGGAGAGAAATTTTAAGAGATTTCTGAAATTTTAAGAGATTTCATTTAAAAAGGCTCCTCATCTATGATTTTCATGACAATGACAAACGTTTGCAAAGTATTCATCATCTATAACTTTATTTCACCCTCATAACAATCCTGTAATGGAGTCACCATGATCCATACACATCAGGGAAACAGATGAGGCCGTGGAGCCCTAAGGCAGGGGCCCCATGCACCTTTGCTGTTACGGTGATGGCTGGGTCCCCTTTCCCGCTTCCACACGATATACGAAAGTACATCTTTTTTGTCCCAGAGTTACTTACAACTCGATGTGCTGCCTGATGAGACTTCATTTCTTTTGTTCCTAGAGGGTGTTTCAAATAGTTATTGGCTCAGGATAGTTATTACCTACTCCCTCTATAGCAGTGTCAGATTTCTATCTCCAACAACCTTTTTATAGGGTAGATGACTGACAAGGTTGTCTTATTCTGCCACCAATTTTAGATTTACAAACTCATAAGAAACAAGGTGCCTGAGGGCAAAAGAGGACTTATTTAATAATAACAATCTTCAACCCAGCAATAATCAGTATCCACCCCACTGGTTTATGCTTGTCTTGGTCAGCTCGAGCTGCTGTAACAAAATACCACGGACTGAGTGGCTTAAACAACAGATGTGTATTTCTTACAGTTCTGGAGGCATGTAGTCCAAGATCAAGATGCCAGCAGATTTGAGTCCTGGTGAGCGTTCTCTTTCTGGCTTGCAGAAGGCCACCTGTTTGCAGGGTCCTCACATGGTACAGAGTGAGAGAGAGCTCTGGTCCCTTTTCCTCTTCTAAGGACACTAATCCAATCAGGAGGGCCCACCCTCATGACCTCATCTAAACCTAATTGCTTCTCAAAGGTCCCACCTCCAAATACTATCACATTGGGAGTTAGGACTTCAACATGTGGATCTGGGGGGGCATGGTCAGTTCATAACAATGCTGCATTGAGATAGTATGTCTTTTACTGCCTCCTAAATTTGAGCCAGGGACATGTTTTTGATTATTGATATTTTAAAATAAATATATCAGATTCAGTCCATCAACATATACTGAGGTTCTAGTGTATACTGAGAGCACTTTAAATATACTATTTATTATTTTCAAAGATACATAGATGAGAAAACTGAGTCTATGAGAGGTTAAGTGACCAAGATCTAGTGAGAAGCTGAGCTGGAATTCTCACCCGCATCTGTGTACTTCCAAAACCCAAACACTTTAACACACAACGTGGCTCTATAGGCAAGTTACCAGTTATCAAAGCAAGTTGTGAGTCCTTTGTGAGCTCAGTCACTGCTGGCGTCTCTTCCAGCTCTAAAACTCTGCAGGCATCTAGGGGGAGTTTGGTTGGTTTGGTCATGATGGCTCTCATTTTACCCCATACTCAGATTCTGGTTTCATGACACCTCTTGCATCTGGGGACCATTATGCATACAAAAAAGAGATCGTAGCCTTTTTTCCTTTGATTATTTATTCATAAAAAGCTAACCAACATAAGCAAGGTAAGCCTGTCATTTTGATTTGCAAGAGAAGAAGGTAACAATTCTTTGACAATGCCCAGTAACCTTCAAAAATAGAGGAAGTAGAGCGAGGTAGAAGTGATGGAGGGGAAAAAATATGGAAGTGGAATCTACTCTCCATGTTAAGTCAGTATGTCTCACATTGCTTCCTGAAGAAGGGCTAGAAAAAGATTTATCTTTGCTGTGTAAAAATTAATATGGCATAAAGTTTATTCAATTAACGTTTATTAAATCTCCACTATGTGACAGGCACCATGCCAAATCCTGGGGATAAAGTGATGAATTTGCTCACACACAGTCTTTGCTCTCAAGGAACCCACAGTCTAACGGTAGACAGACACAAAATAGAAAACTGCCATGTGGCATTGCAGCGATGGAGATGTGCACAGGATATTCAGGAGCCCAGAAGAGGGGCACGTCAACCTGGCTTCTTTAAGGAAGGTGATGCCTAAAATGAGCCTTAAGGAATGAGTAAAGTTAGCCAAGTTAAGAGGGGCGGGAGAGGAAGAACATTCCAGGTGAGAGCAAAAACATTAAGTCATGGTGGTCAAAGAGCAGAGTTTGGAGAGAGGAGAGAAATCACATGAAGCTGGAGGAGTAGGCTTTTCGGGGGATGAGTTGTGTTTGTGGTATGTGGAGTCTGAGGCACCCCAGCGAAAGTTTAGCCGGAAGCTGGGTACATGGGGCTGACATTTAGGGATGGTCTGGGATGGCGGTATGGATTTGAGAGGTGGGAAGTGATAATTGAAAATGTGAGCATTGATTAAATCATCCAGGGAGCATGTGCAGAGTCAGGAGAGCTGACATTTAAGACTGGAATACAAATAAAAATCGACATTTTAGGAATAGACAGAGAAAAATGAGCTCAAGAAGTAGGCAGAGTAAATAGTCAGAGAAGTAGAAGCAAATACAAGGGAGTCTGGCATCATGGAAGCCCAAGGAGTAGAATTTTCATCAGAGTGTGACTTGTGGAGACAGATAGGCTTGCTCTTCTGGTAAGGTAAGGACTGAAAAGATGAAGACGTTGGTGACATTAGCATGAAAGGCGTTTTAAATCAGTAGTGAAGACGTAAAAAAATGGTTTTAAGAGGAATTAAGGAGAAAATATGTAGTCTACTCTTGAGAGAAATCTGGATTAGAAGAAGAGAAAGGTTGGGTTATAGTTAGAGGGATATAGGAGGTCAAAGGATGATGACGATGGTGATGAATTGCTTGGAGATTGCAAGAGAAGAGACTTCAGTATGTTTCTAGGCTGAAAAGGAAAAGCTAGGAGAAAGATGGAAAACACAGGAGGGCTATGAGATGACAAATGGAGGGTATCTTCAGGGAAGAAACCTTTGCGCTGAGACTGGAGAGGTGGAGAGGGTAGTTACGGATAGTTATCTCACAGATAGTTACACGTTTTTTATGATGTGGAGACAAGGCCCACAGATAATTTGGTCTTCCTGAGCCAATACTCTGCCTGAATCTCCTATTTCAGATTCCCTCTTCCTTTTGTCAGCAAGCAATTCACTCTCTCTTGGACCTGCTATCTTGGACCTGCAGAAACATTGCATTTACACTATGGGAAGTGGCACCTCAACCCAACATCATTTTGCTTTCCAAAATGCAGAGAAAGGTATGTGTTTCCCACCACCCAAACTAGCTGTGTGTACCCCAAGGCCTACACTGCATATGGAGGGGCTTCTCAGGATAGGAGCAAGAAACCATTATATTCCTCCTCAGGCAACTCCTGAAAATTAGCTTCTCCGCCTTCTGATGTGACCACCAGAATGCTCAGCTGAATGTTGTAGGACTTGGTGAACTATATTTGACAGAACTAAAATTTACTAAGGAATCAGTGCTGTCCATTGGGGTTTATCCCAAACTACACACATATGAGTAAATGAAATAAGGTTGGGCAAAGAGGGGATGAAAGGGCATTTCAGGTAGAGGGTACAGCATGTACAAAGGCCATGAGGTAGGAAGAAGAGAGGCATATTCAAGAAACTGAATGGTCTGAAGTGAACAAGATGGAGGATGGCACAATATGAGGCTGCTGAGGTAGGCAGAGTCCAGATTACCCAGGGTCTTAAAGGATTTTAAATTTTATCCTAAAGGCATGAAGAACTATTAAAGAATTAAAAATAGGGAATTATATAATAAGATTTACAAATTTAAAAGACCTTCTGGCTTCTGTGAAGAAATAAGAACAGTTTAAAAGCTACTAAAGTCATCTAAGCAAGAGATGATGATACCTTGGTCCAGAGTTGGTGGCAGCAGAGATGGAGAGAAGAAGGTGAATTCCAACAATATTCAGAGGTGGAATTGACAGGATCCGACTGATTAGATGTATGGGGTGAGGGAGAAGGATGGATCAAGAAGAACCTCCAGGTTTCTGTCTAGCAAAACTGGTCAGAAGATAATGCCAATTACCGACATAAAGGTAGTAGAGGAGAATCAAGCGTGACTAGAGGGAAGATGATGAGTTTACAGATGCTGGGTTTGAGGTGCCCATGAGACATGCAGGTGGAAGTGCTGGGTAGACAGCTGCATAGTCACATCTGGACTTGGGAGGAGAGGTTGGGCTGGAGATACATGCATTTGGAAGGCACCAGAGTGTGGGTGGTGGTTGGGGTCACTGAAGTAGCCTAGAGGGAGGAGAGACAGATCAGAGGCCAGGGCCTAGGCCAGAGCCATGAGGCACTCCAGGGCTTGAGCATAAGGAGAGGAGTCAGCACTGGAGGCTGAGGAGAGGCTGCCAGACATGTGGGAGGAAGCAAGGAGCTGGAGATGTAGGAGGAAACGAGGGAAATAGTGGCAGCACCTTGTTTATTTGGGCCTGCGCATCTCTGGAAGCACGTGGCTTCCTTGCTTTCTAGTTTGGCAGCGTGTCCCAGGCTCATCTTGCATTTTTGGCCGCAGACCAGGAGGAGCTATTGCCCCAGGGTGTGGGTGTTTATTGCTACCAGATTGGTCATTATTTTTATACCTTTTCAGTGAACAGATCCAGAAAATGTGTGTTAGTTAAAGAAAAAAAGTCATCACCAATTTATATTTAGGATCACAATATTTTTACTTAACAACCTTGATATTTTATTTATATCTCTTTTCTCTTTATTAAAAATCTTTTTTCCCAGTGACCTTAAAATAGTATCCTTTACGTTATCTTACCATATATAAATAATAGTTTCATGATAATAATAACATACTATTATAAACAATATGATTACTGAAAACTCTTTAAGATTTCTTTGCAGTTCTGTTTGTCCTCAGATATATCCGCTGGGGATGTGCAAAGTACTGAATTTTCAAGTCATTTGAAGTAACTCGTTTCCATGTGGTTATGCCACCAACTTATACAACATTAGATTCATTTGTTTAACTTTTGCTTTTGATTTTTAGAGATTGATTTTTTTCATTTTGATTTAAATTCGTTTTATAATTTTGTAAAACATTTATACAATTCCTGTTCCAGTTATCTGTTGCAGTGTAACCACCTATCCCTGAAATTGGCTTAAGACAACCATTTCATTCTGCTCATGATTTTATGGGTCAGGCCTTTGCAAAGGACCCAGCTGGGTGGTTTGTCTACAACCCTCAGGGCAGCTGGGGCTGGAGGTTCTGCTTCTGAGACAGCTCGTCACTCAGTATCTGGTGCCTTGGTGTCCCTCAGCCTCTTTCCTCACATGGTTGCCTTGTTCTTAACAGCCAGGTGTACTTACAACTTGCACCCCAGGATTTAGTCTACACAAGGCTTGAGCCAGGGGAGCCCAAGCATGTTGTATCATGCTGTTAAGGGAGGATAGGGTAGAGGATCTCAAACTATGCTGCATCTCAGAGTGGCCATCTCAGTTGTAGGTAACCCAGGCCCCAGACAGAGGCTGGGAGGCAGAAAAAAGAGGGAGAAAGAGAGGCATTGCCTGCCCTCCCTGCTGTACAGAGCAGAAGCATGACAGAGGATGTAAGGATATCTAATTGGCAGCATTTGCCTTAAAATGCTTGAGGCAAGGTGTTAGCAAACAACATTTTCAGGGGAGCTTGGTGGCCATGATATTCCTCAGTGTTGGTTAAACTTCAGCGCAAGTAAAAAGCATGCTTGGAGTTGTCACACCTGCAGGTTCCTGGGTTCCCTGTAGAGATTCTGATGCTATGGGTCTAGGGTGAGGTCTGGATGTCTGTGTGTTTCCCAGAAGTTCCTAAGGAGCCTGTAGTGCTTACTCTGGACATTTCATGCACTGTCCTGATCATGGATTTACAGAATTCAATTGGGAGAGCTTCAACCGCATCGCTTATTATTTAGTAAGTGCCTTTGAGAAATAAATATGACCTTTTTCTCAAAGGAAAATTCAATTTTGCTTAAATTCATCATAGGTTCTCTTTTCCTACTCTACAATCGTCTTTCCTCTTAGAGAAATCAGTGAGAATTCTATTAGCTCTCTAATGCAAGCTAAATATATTAAACCAATCTGTCTACTGTTCACAAGGTTGACCTGAGTGAAGCTGCAGGGTTTCCTTTTTAATCCAGCTTTATCCACAAATACCCCATTCATGACTGGTGGCACGTTCAGGCCCAGGAACTTAAGAAGAATCTAGTTATTTATGCGGACAGCTGTCCTCTTCTCTGGTAGCAGTACCTGACCACAGCTCCTAAAGCTCCTGTGAAGAAGTAAACCCACCCATGCCATCCTGTGGTACCCGCTCACCTAGAGTGGGTCCTGGCAAAAGGAAAAGCCCAAAGGCTGGATTTGATAGCGCAGTCATGGAAGTATTGTGATGAGGCTACCACTTAAAGTCCATGGGGATATCACGAATGTGGGGGCCCAGCAGGAAGTTATCATCACCTGACATTATAGTAGTAATTTGTGTGTTTGTCTATTGTTTGTTTTCCCCAGTCATCATCTGGTCCATCCCTCTTTCCAGATGAGGACATTGAGGCCCAGGAAGGCGACTTGCCTGACCACATTGTGGTCAAGGCGGCTCAAGGCCTAGAACCCAGCTCTCCTGACACAGTCTATTGTTATACGGTCATGCATCGCTTTTAAAGATAGAGATATGTTCTGAGAAACGCATCATTAGGTGATTTTGTCCTTGTGTGAACATCATAAAGTGTACTTACACAAACCCAGATGGCAGAACCTCCTACACACCTAGGCTATATGGTACTAGTCTGATGGGACCACCATCATATATGCAAACCCTCATTGACTGAAACTTTGTTATGCAGCGCATGACTGTTCTCCCTGCCACGCCCCTGCCTTAAGCCACTGTCCAAGGGGGCTGCATCCTTGCAGTCCCTCCGGGTTACATCTTCTTCTCAGAATCCTGGCAGTCAACCTTCGCATCTCTACACATATAGATGTTTTCATCAATAAGTGGGAATTCCAATAAACCTCCAGTGATATCAGTATAACCACCAGATCAGAATGGGAGTGGGATGGGGGATGGGAATGAGGAAAAGAGCACCCTGGCCAGCAGTAATGCAAATCCTTCCTATGGGCAGTGCTTTCCCCACCATTTTATCCCACGTTGCAGGGGGAGAGGCACCCCCACCTCTCCACAGGCCAAGGGAGTCCCAGCTCACAGGCTTGCTTCACCATCTGTGTCACAGCCTTCAAGGCAGCGGCCCTGATCCAGAGATGGTACCGGCGCTATATGGCACGCCTGGAGATGAGGCGGCGGTGCACCTGGAGCATCTTCCAGTCCATAGAGTATGCTGGGCAGCAAGACCAGGTCAAGGTACAGTGGGCTGTGGGGTGGAGCCGCCTCCAGCTCTGCCTTCCAGCTCCTGGGCAGCAAGGCCCAGGTGCCCACAAGGTGCAGCTGATCTGGACCACCCCTGGTTTCTCTTTTCACTCATCTCTAAAGCCAAGTCTTGGGTTCTTCTGCAGCTCCACGATTTCTTCAGCTACCTTATGGATCACTTCACCCCCAGCAGTCACAATGAGAGTGAGTATGAACTGCCACGTAGCACATCCTCCTGTCTCAGGGTCATAGATGTCTGGGTGAGGTGGCAGAGCCACAGGGCGTGAAAACAGGAATCCGGTGACAGCCAGGGAGTGAGTGAGGAGGCTGAGAAATAAATGGCAGAGTGGAATTTTATCCTGGTTCTCCTGGAAGCACGCCTGGAGACAAGAATTTGAGCGCAAGGAATTTATTAGTTAAATACAGGAAACACTGTAGGGCGGGGAAGGGTGGGGAGAGGGCTAGGGATTCAGGAGAGGGAGGGCAGCCAATAAAGGGTGGGCTACTAAGCCAATAACTCAATGCGCCTGGGAAATAGTGCAAAATGCACACCTGGGAATGATCCCACCCGGCGGTAGAGGGAACTGGAGTCTTCATGTGTCAGCCCCTAGAGTCATTGGTCGAAGCCTGCGGGGAGGGCCCGTGAGCAGGGTTGTCAATTCCACAGCATCTCTGGCCTGCGGCAGGCCCTCTGCGGACTGACCGGGAAGAAAGCCCTCAGGCCGAGACTTGCAGGCAGGCAGTTGGCAGTCGCTGAAGGGCACTGGAAGACGGAGGCATCTGCTGCTCTCACTAAGCACAGCAGAAATGCCCGTGAACTTTTCTTCCATTGCGGCTTTTCCCTTTCCTCCGGCTTACAAAGCTAGGCCCCTAAATTCTATGCTTTCTAAGTTAATCTTTTAAAATAAAAGTAAAATGGAATGGATGTAAAAACATAACCTTTTCCTCCTGTGCATCCTCATCTGTTGTCACTTCCCTTTCCTGTCTCCTCTCTGGGGTTGGAGCTGATGCCAGACTGGCCAGGTCCCACCTGAAGCACAGTCCAGGGAGAGAATTCCGGGTGGCCCGTGGACTGCAGGTGGGATGTGAGCCGCCCACCCTTTCTGTCCTGACTAGGGGACTTCCTGAGCCGCATGTTCACTGAGGAGAGACTCCCCCAGGACTCCGAGATGGAGGGGTGCAGGGACTATGACTGCATAGAGGTACCGGACAGTTACATGGGGCCACGCCTCTCATTCCCGCTGCTTCCTGACCATGCAACTGCCCTGCTGGAAGCCTTCAGACTGAAACAAGTACGCTCGCCCACGGAGCCTGGGTCTCCCGGAACGTGTCGGGGGAGAGCAGACTCCTCAGAGCAGGCATGGCCCCGGATTTAAGGTCTTCGTGTCATGAGTCCACTAGAGAGAGTCCACTCCCCATTTCCTTAGCCAGGACCTTGTGGTCAATCAGCCAGTTTTTATGCTTTGAAAACTTCCCCTCCTAATCATGTCGTCTCTCTTTGTTCATCCATCCCGCAGATAACTATTGAGCAGCGCTCTGTGTGGGCACTGTTCTGGGCACTGGGGATATAGTAGTGAACGAGATAGATACAGACCCTGTCCTCAAGGGGCTGACAGTCTAGGCAAGAGACAGACAGTAAATAAGTAAATGTTGTAGTTTATTTGAAGGTGATGAGAGCTGAGGAAAAGAATGAGCTAAGTTCTAGGTGGGAGAGATGGCAGTTTTACACAGTGGTCTGTGAAGGGCTCACTGAACAGGTGATTTCCGAGCAAAGGTGGAGGGTGGTGAGGGAACGCGCCGTGTGGACATCTGGGGAGAGCATTCTAGGCAGAGGGAACAAATGGAAAGGACCTTGCCTGGACGGCTCAGGGAGCTCTGGAAGGCCGTTATGGCTGGAGAGGAGGGAGCCTGGGGAAGAGCATTAGGAGATGGAGGCAGAGAGAGAGTGGGGTGGATTTTTATTCTTCTGAAAGAGATGGGAGATATTCAACATTGAGCACAGGAATGTTATAAAATAATCTTGCTTGCTTTTTAAAATAATCATTCTGGTTGCTGAACAGAGAGTAAGGAGCAAGGGCAGAAGCAGGGAGACCATCCAGAGACTACTGCAATAATCCAGGCAAAAGATGATAGTGGCTTGAAACCCTGTTGGTAGAGGCAGAAGTGGCAAGAAGTGGTCAGATGCCAATCTTTCCCCTCTTTCAGTGAAGATAATTCACTGCAGGAGGAGTTTAGATGATGTTCCCAGTAATGTCAGCATCACTCAGTACCATCAACATGCATGCACTTATTCATCCTTCGCTGAGACAATGGTGTGTTTCTCCCAGGCCAAAGGCAAGGAAGGCTTTCATAGAGTAGCTAGGAAAGAGGAAATTAGTCTGATATTTAGGGGATGATGAAAAGCAGAAACAAGGGCAGAAGATGGGTAAAAAAGAAAGGATCTGTGCCCAGGGTCCCAGGGGCAGTTTACTGGGGTCACTTTTGGGGTCTTGGGTGATTGGGGTCGTTAGCAGTAAAGGTGAGGCCCATCTTCCCTCACGAACATCAGTGTTGCTTTGTTCGCTCCCTCCTCTTCCTCCTAATAGCAGCTCCACGCTCGCTATGTCTTGAATCTTTTGCATGAAACCAGGAAATATCTGGTGCAACTGCCGAACATCAACCGGGTCTCCACCTGTTACAGCGAGGAGATCACCGTGTGTGGTAAGAGCCAGTCAGAAGCGGCCTTACATGCTAGACACAAAGAAAACTCGGCCTGTGATAGGGGAGGAGAAAAGGCGGGGCTGGGGGGGAGACAGTAGGGCAACACAGCAGGCCAAGTTCATCTCTTCACACTGACAGGATCTACATATTCGCTCCACATTGGCTTAAAGTCGAGGTGGGGCAGTGAAGAACTGTGGGGCAAGAGGGCCCAGCCTCTGCTTTCTTTTCCCAAGCAGTTCATATCTGACCCCAAACCCATGCCCTCCATTCAGAACAAAATCCTTACAAATGGCCAGACCCTCCCTTATTAGAAGACATTTAATGTTACTTGAGCAGGCCTCAATTCCTAGTGAATTATTCCTTCTGTCCACATGTATCCTTCTCCCAGAAAGAAATCCTGTTAATGATGATTTTTTTCCCATCTCATTATGTTTTCAGTGATATTTAAATATCCCTTCTAGACTGACATTGCACCCTTAACTTAGGGGAGGCAGGGATTGTAAACTGGCAATTCCAGGGCTGCATGCAGCCAGCAGATGGTCTCATCTGCCCTGAAATGTCCTTAACTTTTAAAATTAGTTTCCAACATTTGAAAGTAAGAGGATTTTGTATTAAAATCCAGATTGCCAACTTCTCTTGAAAAAATCTCCTAACATTGGCCTGTAAGGCCTCAGTTCTCATCTGGGTTTGCAACCCTGCACTATTCTCTTCCATCTTTGCTTCAGTAAAAATAGAAGTCATTTACTATTTATGATAATTGTGCAGGAAAAATATTGTGCTTTCTGCTTTCAATATTAACTATCCCTGCAACAAGGGAAATTAATATTTATCCCTATGTTACATATGGAAAAATAAGTCACCCTAAGTTTCTTTACATACTCAGATTTTTCAGGGTATTTTCCTTTTATAGTAAAATGAGAAACAACGGTAAGGACCAATTGAGACTGATACTCTTTTTCTGTCTTTGTTAGGAGATTTACACGGCCAGTTGGATGACTTAATATTTATATTTTATAAGGTATGAATGTTCCAATTAAGTTCTTGTTCTGAGGCTTAATTTAGATGTTCAAGTAGAGTATCTATTAAATAAATGCTTAAACGTTGCTTGGATTTTAAAAATATTATTTTTAAATAATATCTGCTACTATGTAGCAAGTACATAATATAAAAGCCAGCATTGCATTATACTCAAGTACATTTCTGTAAATTGTTTTCAAAAGTCTTAGGTTAATAAAGAGAAGGAACCATTATTTAGCAATTGATTTTCTTTTTTCCAAATAAAATAATAGTTTATTATCAAAGCAACGGAAAGTTATTTTCATGCTCATTTTTGGTTATAAAATGTAGAGCATATACAACATATAAGAATATTCTATTAATGTAGTACTGCTTTATATGTACACTGCACTTCCCAAAGCATTTTCCCATGTATTGTCACATTTAATCTCGAGGAATCCATGGCAGCTATTGTTATTATTGGTAGTTAAAGACAGTGTGGCCAGAACTTAAAACTGGCCTTTGGATCACAAGTTCAGTGCCCTTTGTGCATGCCACATGGCAACGCTTTGGCTTTGTATAACACATTCATTTTGATGAGCATGTCATAACCTCAGCCTGGCTGGAAAGGAAATATAAGACCAATGGAAAATATTTCCATCTTTTACTGACATTTCACTTTTGGAGGAGAGCCAGAAAGCACAGAATTGGTGTTAGATCTGATGTGACTGTCAAATGCACATTGGTTTGACCTAATTTCCTGTTCTCTCCCTTCGGTGCCTCTTCTTGGACTTGCCTCCTTGTTGGGAAGAATGGCCTCCCGTCACCAGAGCGGGCCTACGTGTTCAATGGTGACTTTGTGGATCGAGGCAAGGATTCATTAGAGATCCTGATGGTTCTTTTTGCCTTCATGTTGGTTTACCCAAAAGAGTTCCATCTTAACCGAGGCAACCATGAGGACCATATGGTGAACTTACGGTACAAACCAAAACATGCATGGGGCTTTGATGTTTACTTGTTGCAATTGTAGAAAGTTATTTTGTCAGAGCTTCTTATTTGTTAGATGCCTTTTTAAAGTAGCTTTCCAATTTTATAAAGTAGAATACACAATATATAACATTTAAAAAGGTTTTTAAAAAATTTACACATGGGGCTGGCCCCATGGCTGAGTGGTTGAGTTCACGTGCTCCGCTTCAATGGCCCAGGGTTTTGCTGGTTCGAATCCTGGGCGTGGACATGGCACCGCTCATCAGGCCATGCTGAGGTGGCATCCCACATAGCACAACTAGAAGGACCCACAACTAAAAATACACAAGTATGTACCAAGGGGCTTTGGGGAGAAAAAGGAAAAATAAAATCTTTAAAAAAAAATTTACACATTATCCTACTATCTAATAAAACCATTAAATTTTTTTTCATATATCCATACTGGTTTTTTTTTGATGAGGGAGATTGGCTGTAAGCTAACATCTGTGCCAAGCTTTCCTCTATTTCGCATGTGAGTCGCTGCCACAGCATGGCTTAATGAGCTGTGTGTAGGACTGCACCCAGGATCTAAATCTGCGTGCGACCCTGGGTCGCTGAAGCAGAGTGCGCTGAAGTTAACCACTATGCCACTGGGCCGGCCCCTCTGTACTCTTTATCATATAAACAATAAAGTTTCACTATAGAAAAAGAAAGAAATGCAAATTAATAAAGGAAGAAAATTAAAATATCCCATATTTCTCTACCCAGAGATAACGTTATAATTATAAACATTTTAGTGATTATTCTACAGTCTCATTTTTATAAAAAAGCAATTATGCTATAACTATTGTCACTAAATTTAATATCTTTTTTGCTTCTAAATCTAGTTATGGCTTCACCAAGGAAGTGATGCATAAATATAAGGTGGGCTGCCTTTATAAGCAAAAATTTCTCTTAGTTCAGATAAGTTGAGTGTATCATTTGAAACTTAGTATCTTGTTAATATCACTTTTTAGACACATGGCAAGAAAATACTAAAAGTACTGCAAGATGTTTTCTGTTGGCTTCCGCTGGCCACTTTGGTTGATGAGAAAGTCCTGATTCTTCACGGTGGAGTGTCAGACAAGACTGACCTGGAGCTTTTGTCCAAACTAGACAGGCACAAGGTACTGACTGAGTAATGAGACAGTGCAAATTTCACCATCATGCCCAGTTTCACTGCCAACATAAAATAAATGTCATCTTGCATGCTGATTCCAGTTGACTAAAAAGGGCTGTTAAGTAAAGCCATTAAACCAGTAATAGGAGAAGGATTGAGAATCCATAGCTGGGCTCAGGGAGTGAGTATGCTGTGATCAGTTAGTGATGTTGCCATAGACATGATAGTGGGGAGTGGCAGTTAGTGCTGTCTACCTGCCATTCCTGATATAGATAATTCTCAGTACCCCTCAATCACTGTCACCTGAAGAGACTCTATTTCCCAGATAATTCAGATCATCTTCAATTAAAGACAACAAATGTGCATTGAGTGCCTACTTCATGCAGGGAGGATGCTATTGGCAGATGCAAAGATGAAGATCAATTTCAATTAAACTCAACAACTTTGTTTTAACTGCTTGTGCAAGGAAAGTGCTAGGAGAGATACTAAGATAACCAGAGATGGTGGCTGCCCTAAAGGAATTTACAATAGCCAGCAGGAAGAGGGGGAGTGGGAGAGACAGAATGTATTATACTCCAATATTAATAAGTCTCTATTTTCCATGTCATTTTGGAATAGAAATCTAGAAAGCAAAGACTCTATTTTCTTTTAATCATAGACTCTTACACTTGAACAGTGTATGATGGTGTCTATACTCCAATTATCCATCACACACAGGAACCCCTACTACAACATCCTTGACAACATTTGCTGAGCAGTTCCAAAGACAGGGACCTCATTACCACACAAACCAGTCTACTTTGGGCAACTCTAATTGATATAAAAGCCTATGTTATATGAGACATAAATGAAACAGCATGGCTTCAGAATCAGACAGACCTGGGTTTGAATCTTGCAACATGCAGTTCTTGGCTGGTATGGCAGCTTTGTTTTGCTAGGGTGTCCAGGGACCAAGGCTTCTTATGTCTTGTTACTCTGCCATCCTTGGGGCGTCATTCCCATGTCCTCAACTGCGTAGCCCAACACGCCTTGCCACCACCTCTGTATTCCAAGCATTAGGATAGAGGCAGGAAGGGAAGAAAAATATTCCTGCCCATTAAAGACACAGTGAAGAATTTGCATACATCTCTTCTGCTCTCATCCAGCTGTTCAGAATATAGTTACATTACTACAACTCACTGGAAGGAAGGATGGAAATGCAGTCTTCTTTCTGGTTGGCCAAGTGCCCAGCACAAAAGTTGGGGTTTCCATTCCTATGACAGAGACGGGAAGACAGATTTGGGGGAATGGTAGTCTCTGCCACACAGATTTTGGAGTGTGGAAGTATGTCCTTTTTTCCCTGAGTAGGTATGGTGAGTGGTTAACTCATGGCCTATGAAGTCAGATAGAAGTGGATAAAAATTCTGGTTCTGCTACTTATAGTTATGTGACATTGAACAAATTAGTTAACTTATTGTAACCTCAGTTTCTACATCTATAAAATAAGGATATGAATAACTATATCATAGATGTTTTGAGGATTAAATGAAAGTATATGTGCATGTGCCTTACAAAATTTGCACTCAATAAGTGGAAATAGCATTAACTACATTTGGCTGAAGTGGCAGAAAACTTCAAATAAGAATGGCTTAATGCTTACTTCTTTGTTGTATAAATAAAAGCTGGAAACAAGCAGTCCAGGGCTGGTACAGAAACGCCACAAAGTCATTAGGGACCCAGGTTCCTGCTCTCTTGTTGCTCCACCATATTGCATCATGGCCCAAAATGGCTACTTTATCTCCAGCCATCATGACCACATTCTAGCCAGCATAAATTAGAGAGCAGAAGAAAGGCAGTTTTCCTTCCTTTACAGACATTAGGTTGTACACAAAATTTCTGTTCAAACTTTGTCATATGTGAACACAGCTGAAAAGCAGGGTGGAAAGTGTAATCTTCATTCCAGGTGGTAGCTGTAAGAATCTGGGTTTTTGTTACTAAGGAAGAAGAATAGACAGATGTTGAGGTAGCAAGACTCTGCCTTAGTCTGCCCCTGTGGCTCCCCAAATTTCCACGCACACCCTCCTTCCCGTACAACCATGCTCATCCCCACCCCAATGGAGTTTACACTCAAGCCTCATTCAAGGATTGCATCCAGTTCAAAGCCCAAGGTTTCTGGATTCAAGGCCTAGCTGTCAGGTCTGGCTAAGGCTCCTTATGATCTGGTGACTAAAAGACAAGTTATGTGTCCCTGCACACCGAGACCCAGTGTAGGAAGGGAAGAAGGATCACTCCTGGGCGGAGGCAGAGGAGGGAGAGCGGCAGCATTTTCAACAGCTCCCTCCAAAAATCCTCGTTATAAAACCCCCTGTACTTCTCCACACTCTCACTCCTTTCATGTTCTTGATGGAGAGGGAGGGGACCCAGGGACCTAAAACCAGCTCTTAGTGTTTCCTCTGTCAGTGCCACATGTCTGTCACTTCATTTTTTTTTCACCTCAAACATTCGGTTCCGCCGTGTCGATGTCTGGAGGTAGAGACGGCAAGTCACCACAGAGCAGACTCTCTCATGGGAAGAGCCACGTTGAATTACGTAAACGTAGGAGAAGTAGGAACTTTGGAAAGAATGCTGAAGAGCAGTTTATTTTCTGTAGCTTAGCAAAGGCTAACTTCCCAACAGCTGGTTTGCAAAGCTCTGGGGAAGGGTGACGTAGCCATTTGCCCAGTCCAGGGACCGCTTGGGAGGGAAACACAGAGCAGCGAGGGCTCTGGAATCCGGCCTGGCGCAGTTTTAGTATCTCGTGCCTCAGTTTTCATATCCGTGCTATAAATGGGGGTGCATTCTCACCGGAGAATGAGGGCTAATCAATTAATTCTTGTAAAGTGCCCAGAATAGCACCTATTTGGAAGGACCTCAATACGTATTAACACTAATATTCTCCTTAAGGATCAAAGTTAGGGATGCGTCTTGGAGCAGATGACATCCTTAAAAGAAAGTTCCTTGAGGCTGGAAAGGGCTGGAACTGATGGTCTAGCCCTGACTGTGAGCTGGCCAGGAGGAGAGAAGGGGCTGGTTAGGACTCCCTTCACATTTTGTGCCCTTTCCTGCTCTATGCCCAGGGCCGGAACCACCTGGGAAGTCAGCGGTGCTTGTCCAAAGTTAGAGTAAACGTCTGTTCTATTCTGTTCCATCTGGATTCCTCTTCAAACATCATTCAGGTCCTGCTGACCCTCTCTGAGTGTCTTTCTTTGTTCTTGTCCTAAAGCCAGTCCACAAGGGACATGGCTTTCCTGAAGGTCCTTGTGTCTATTTGCAGAAAGTTCTCTTTCTTTGGTTATGTGGTTGCACAGAGTTCCCTTTGTGAACTGGACACTTTTATCATTGTTATCCTTGTGGGCATCACATCTCTGTTTTCACTGTGGCACTCAGGCATGCCAGGAATGTCTGCTCTCTCTTTTTGCTCGACGCCACAGCTCTGCTCTGTGGCCTGACCCCTCTCTTGCCCGTGATCAGAATTTTTCTGCTTGTGTCTATGTTCTTAGCCTGGTCCCACCACAATGACCCTGAGTCAGTGAGAGGGACCATACTCAGTCCTTTTGGCAAAGAAGTGTATCTTCCTGATTAAGTCCAGGCTGAAAAGAGATGCTCCTTCCCCTCTCTGCCCTTCCTCAACAGGGAAGATAACAGGTAAGATCACACTGCCTGCAAAACGCCATTCAGGGCTGCCTCTCCCCCAGCAAGCGTCAAGTTTTTCCTATTCCAGCACTTCTCAACCACAGGGTGCATTTCTTCTCCTTCGCTTTAGCATCTGTGGAACAACAGAAAAGTCAATGAAGGCTCACTTTCCTGAGAGAGAAGTGCCCTTTCCCATCCTGGCCTAAAATCACCAGGCTCCAAGAGGTGACAACGACCCAGCTCAGTATTTCTCAAATTACCTGTGGTGAAGGACGAGGTGTCATAAATTTCCAATTTGTCACAGACCAACATTTTTGTAAAGTACAAGATTATGAATTACTAGAAAAATGAAATACAAACAAAGAATGCAAGCCCACGGGTCACGTGCTTGAATGTCATAGCAATATCCAATTGCTATCCAGGTCTCTAAAGGCTTACTGTCACGTTCTGTGCTTGTCTTGTCGTGGGCCAGGAGCAAACTGTTCACAGACCAGCCCTTGTCTGTGGACCCCTGTGTGAGAAGCACTGACCTGGATGCCAAAATGCGACTCAGAAAGGACCCCCAGTTTCATCCTAGCATCTGTGTCTTTTCTGGACATTTTCAGATTGTTTCCGCCATGAGGTGCAAAACGAGAAAGGAGAATGAGAAGCAGGCAGAGAAGGGAAAAGCCAACCAGACAGGCTCTGCAGGGAAACCTTCCCCATGGTTTCTCCCCCAAAGCCACTCTCTCCCGTCTTCGCCCCTTCGCCTCGGCTCCCACAAGGCCCACAAAGACAGCCGCTCCTCCAGCGTCCCCTGCAGCATCCCCCCGAACCCCCAGGAGCTCTCCCGGCAGGTGCGGCGCTCTGTGGACCTGGAGCTGGAGCGGTGCCGGCAGCAAGCAGGCTTCCCAGTGATCAAGGAGAAGAAGGAGGAACCCCTGCTCTTCTCATCAGAAGCAGACTCAGAAGCTGGGGAGCTGCTGCAGCCCACTCAGGAGGAGTGGCGGCAGGTGGGTTGTGGCCAGGTGCCGCTCCCTAGAATGTGCCACCATCAGGAGGGACCAAGGATTTTAGAAAAACACATCAAATCTCCTCCTTCTATATAAATTCAGGGTATTTTTTTTTTGACCCTTTTCTCTCTCTCCCTGGGGTTAGAGCTCCCCAGAAAGATATTAGTATTTGCCTAATGACATAAATTTTAGAGTTGTATAAAGGATGGGAAGATATAGCAGGTAGGCTCTATTGCCTGAATAAATTGGTTTAGTGACCTGGCATCATTGGGGTAAGACGGTAAGGCACTATTTATGGGATGCTATTATATGTTTTGTTTTTTGTTTGTTTTAATGCGTTGAAAAGATGGCTGCTGTAACTCAAGGCCGAAAGGGCTAGGTCCAGCAGCTTCTGTCCCCCTCTGTTATCAGGCAACTAAAGGCTTTCCCAGAATCTCCAGAACTGTGTCACATGGCCCACCTAGCTGCAAGGGAGACTGGGAAAGCAAGTATTTAGCCAGGCACATTGCCACCTCCAACATGGAGTCAGAGTTCTGTTCACAGGGAAGAAGCAGGAGACTGGGTACCCAGTAGGGACCCACAGCACGTGCCAAATGGAGGGCACACTTCATGGGGGCAAAGCTGTGGCAGGGGGACCCCTTAAATGACGGTTGTAATCCGACTGGGAGATGATTATGGTGATCTTGTATAGTAGTGTTAATACAACTACGTGAACTTGTTGGTATTCAACCATTTTGACCTGTAAAAATGGCAATTTCTTATGGTTCATCCAATAAAGAAAAGGAATTCAGAATTATTTAAGTGCTAAAATTAGCAGAACTTGCTGATTGATTGGATGGTGGGTGGCGAGGCAGACGCGGGTTTGCAGCTGACTCTGAGGCTGGAAACCTCAGAGAGGTAGACGGGGAGCTCCGGTTCCATTCTCCGAGTTATCCATCTGGGCTTCAACATCAGCTTAGACTTGACAGTTTAAAACGCAAGTCTCTCCTTTTACAAAACATGACTCGATAATAATGTGCTGATATTTACAAATCAAATTCATTTTTTGCCTTAAAAGTACATTTAGAAAGTATTAGGTGTCAACAACCAAAAAACACCCACTTTTTCCAGATGAGTTGTGTAAGACTGGCAGTCAGTGTTTTCCTGAGTAGTAACAGTAGAGTAAAATGTTAATTGCTAGAAAAATTGTTCAGCTTCTCTGAAAATTCTTCAAAAATTTCTGAAATTACTTTAAGAAATAGAATGCCTGATTGCACTTTCCCAGGACCACATCTGGGGCTTGTGAATCTGCATGAGAGACTATCTTTGGCCTTCTCTTTGGGCAAATGTCCAGGAGCACTGGCACTGACTGCAGAGAACTGGCTGTGATCAAAGCTTCTACCAGAGCAGCTCCCTTTTTTTTTCATGAGGAAGATTGGCTCTGAGCTAACATCTGTTGCTGATCTTCCTCTTTTTGCTTGAGGAAGATTGGCCCTAAGCTAACATGCATGTCAATCTTCCTCCATTTTGTATGTGGGATGCCTGCCACAGCATGGCTTGAAGAGTGATGTGTAGGTCCAGGCCCAGGATCTGAAGCAGTGAACCCAGGGCCACCAAAGCAGAGAGTGCAAACTTAATCTCTACACCACTGGGCCAGCCCCTTTTTATCTGTTTTATATATTGAGCTTTCATGTAAGATTTATTTTCAAGAAAGTGGATATATCCTTGTCAAACAATATGCACTTACACGTGCTCATTTTGTGAGTAAAAAAATTCTGGAACCTCAGGATATAAAATATAATAATATAAATATATATATTTTATATATATAATTTATATAAATATAAATGTATGTCAAATATTGATTGTATGGAAATTTATTCACTTATTTTTATTCAAATATTTTAGTCTTTTTCCTCTTCTGCTCCTCCTCCTCCTCATCTTCCTCTTCTTTCCATAGGAATGACTCTGACTGAATATCTGTCTAGTTTTTAGGAAAGAAACCATCTCTTGGTCTCTCCAGGTTGTAGATATATTGTGGAGTGATCCCATGGCCCAGGAGGGCTGCAAGGCCAACACTGTTCGAGGAGGAGGCTGTTATTTTGGGCCTAACGTGACAGAACAGCTGCTACAGAAATACAACCTGCAGTTCCTGATCCGCTCACACGAGTGCAAACCCGAGGGCTATGAATTCTGCCACAGCCGCAAGGTGGGTGGACCGTCCGCGGTAGCACAGAGTGGTCCGTCTTGCTCCTCCAGGCCTGGATGGGCTAAGGCGCTTGGCTTCTCATGGTCCACTGTGCCTTGGATTTGCTGTCCACTTGCTCATAGCAACTGGGTCCTTTATAGTCATTAATCCTTGACTTTTATAGCCTCTTTAAAACTCAAAATTTGATCGAGGCCACAGCTCACCAATACCCTGAGAGGAGAGTGAGGGGCAGATATGGTCCCATGTCATGGATGGAAATATGGTCTAGTGTTTTCTCAGCCACATCTCTAGTCTTTAAGTCACATTACTTGCTGTCACATGTCACAAACAACACTACAGGGTAACAAGATTTCTGCACTGTGCCCCAGGCAGGGATTCAGGACCGTTTGTCTTCCCAGGAGCATAATTAATGTCCAGACTAATCTTTGGGCATCTCCAAATCCTACAATGTTTGCCTAGCGTAATGCCACTAGGGTGAGAGTAGTCCCAGGAACACTAACTCTACAGGAGAGTAATAGATTTCCAGGCAAAAAAAAGATCGAGACCAACTAATGTGAGAATGTTTTGTTAAACAGTTATACAAGTTTCCTTATTGTAGGACTTCTGAGAACCTTTAACTTCCTACATTCATTATAAATTGCCAAGGTAAGCTGCAGTGTCTAGCGTTTCCCAACGTGTTGACAAGGGAAGCTTTTTTCACAGAGCATCTCAGGAGGTACAACGCTCTGTAGGAAACTGCTTTGAGAGCTCACACCAGCTTTAATAACTGATGTGCCCGCGAGTTATAATGGTCATCCCAGTTTATTAGACCTAGCTTGCCTCTAGGTTGAAGCAAATCAAGTGTTTTCTATGACCCCTGCTATTTTTACTTGGGATAAAAATGTGAAGAAAACCTGTGGTGGATATCCTATCAGAATTCAAGTTTTTACAACTTGAGTCACAACTCCTGCCCTACTAGCATCAGTAACTTTTAAAAAACATCCGTAGGTGAGGTCAAGGAGGAATAGCAGCCACTGAAATCGGGTGGGGCCCTATAAGATTGAGGGTGAAGAGTTCATCAGTGAACCTGAAGGCTTGTCTCTCTCTTCTGTTTTGATTTAGGTGTTAACCATCTTCTCTGCCTCCAACTATTATGAAGTTGGCAGTAACCGAGGGGCCTATGTCAAACTGGGGCCGGCCCTGACCCCACACATTGTGCAGTATCAAGCTAACAAGGCAACCCACATGCTAACCATGAGACAAAGGCAAGATTTTTCAGTGAACGATTTTCCAAAAAATGGAATTATTGTATTTATAGAACCTTTGAAGTGTGAAATGTCATGAAGTTTACCCAAATTCTAAGTGAGAATTCAGAATTTAGCTACGTCAGCAGTGAGCTCTAGAATATACATTATAGCAGGGGTCTCTTCCTTCCCCTCCACTCTAAAATCTCTACCTACTCATCATTAATGAAAACAACTAATTTGTTTCCTGCAGGAATTATTCTCAGTGGGTGTGTTTTCAGTAAAGTCTATATATGAGGCCACTAAGTCTTTTCAGGGTCACTCTTCTGTTTTCTCTCATCCTTACAGGGTTTATGTTACCCCATACACCACAGCGGAAGGTTCTTTCACTTTCTGGGGATTTGGCAGAGGGATTTCAGTGGGCACATTGGTTAACAATGCCCCTTTCTTCCTGGGAAGGAAGCGTATAATAATAAAATGGCTTCTGTTGAGACAATTCTGACCTTAGCTGAGAGCTTACTACACACTAAGTGTTGTTACAAAAAATTTATCTATAGTGTCTCACAATGAACTTATGAAATACATCGTGTTACTAATTTCAGTTTTATAGATGAGATCATTAGGAACAGAGTTAAATCAGCTGGCTCATGGTCACACAGCTAAGAAGTGATGAAGGTTGGCCTTGACATGGGCAGTCTTATTTCAGAGCTCACAGACTTAATGACTATGCGATACTGCCTCCTATCGAGAAGATGGCCCCAGGATATATAAGCTGCTCACAGATACAGTTGTAGTGCTATGAACAAGCTTATTTAATTACCAGATGAACTAAATTAGAAATCAAAACGAAGTTAGTACAAATGCAGTGATTCTATGTGATTTAGGTGTTGTCACTACAAAAGGAGTCACTGTAGGGAATCCTATAAATAACATGTTTTAATAACGTAATTAAAGAGCACTCAGCGCTTGGGAATATTCATGGGTTGCGTTAAAGCAAGAATAGCATCACCTAATTTACACAGAAGTCGCTCGTCCAACAACCTCAACTATCTGGAGCACAGTGGAGAACGAATAAGAGAGGAGTGTCTCCAACCAATCACAACTGACGTCTCAACATCTATAAACTCAGGATCACGTGTTTTTCTTAGAGGAACCTTCGTGCAGAACCCATTTAATTTTGGTTTAAATCCACATCTTCCAATAATAGTTTAGCCAGACTGGAGTCTACCTGTCAAGACTGATTCCTGGCCCCACCCCTTTTTAGCTATGTGACCTTGGGTTAGTTACTTACTCTGTTAGGGGCATAATAGTCATACCCACCTCAGTGGGTGTTGGCGGGTTAATGAGATGATCCACGCAGAGCTCTGCATGTAGTAAGCGCTCAATATGTGCTGCTTGACGTTGGGACTGAGAGCCTTGCACACCCAGAGAGCTCCCAAGAGTGTTGCCAGACTGCATCCCTGTGTGATAACGATCAACGACTACAATTTACCAGTAAATAGTTTAAATGCTTTGCCGAACCAGTGGTTCTTAAAGTTTTTGGGGGGTCCCACACTTCTTTTAGCCTCTGATAAAACAATAAACTCCAGAAAAAGCATGTATAGTCACATACCTATGAAACTTGGGGTGAGTTTTAGGCAGTTCACACTATCTGAGGAGTCTAGGGTGCCCATGGAAGGACTGTTATGCTAAAAACCTTAAACTGCAAGGAATATTTTCATCAAATGTGATTAAAATGGTGGTGTTTTTGTTGTTCTTCTTCTTTTGCTTTTAGCCCTTGACAAGATAGGTTATCTGGTCATTATTTATAGAATGGCTGGTTCCTCAATGAGACAGAACAAAGTACATATTTGCCTCCTATCTCTTTTTACATACTTGTTCATTCAACTACTGATATTTATCAAACGCTTACTTTGGGCCAAGTGCTGTGGCCAGCATTACTCTATTGACGCAATAAGAACGAGAAAACTAAATTAGTGTTATTTTGCTATATATAGATCTTGCCTTGTGACTGTTTAACATAATAGTAAATTACAAGGAAAGCATATGATTATGATAACAGATCCCATTTGTTGAGTGCTTTCTAAGTTCCAGGCTTTCTTCTAAGTGCTTTACATGACTTCACTTATTTAATCTTCACAACAATCCTATGAGGTAGGGACTGTTTTTATCCCTATTCTGCAGATGGGGAAATTGAGATACAGTGCAGTTAGATCACTTTATTGCACTCGTGGTCATTCTCTAGAATGTCTGCTCTAACCACTGTCCTACACTGGGAAGGACAGCAGCGTTCCCCAAACAGATCCCATTTGTGCACAACAGGGAAAAGTTGGGAGCCAGTGGGGAGAGAGAAGAGACGGAGCTCTTCTGCCAAAAACTGAGCTCTTGGGAGGTTGAGACATTAAGAAAGAGAGAGGAGAAATGTAGTAAAAACCCATGACTATTTCTTCTCTACTAATTTTTTAAAACATTCCTTTTCGTCCCCTGTTCCAGGATTAGCAGAGTTGAGGAGTCAGCCCTGAGAGCTCTGCGGGGAAAGTTATTTGCTCATTCCTCAGATCTTCTTGGTGAATTTAAGAAGCATGATAAAGATAAAACTGGTAAGACTAATTAAGTAAAATATTCATAGAGGAAGGAAACTGGCCAAAAAATCTCTGCCTCACAATAGTTAGCAAATAAATATTTGTTGAATGAATGAATGACCCAAAGACCTCTTTGATTACTTCTTCCATTTTATTCAACTTAACGTCCCAGTAATCTTTTCTAAACTTTTAAATTCCAAGCTTTTAACAGAATATGAACTTGGTAACTATAGATGGAGATGGTGAGAAGAAATGGAATCAAGGGAAGAATGACAAGGCCAGAACTAAGCAAAAAGCAACAGGTGGGGCAGGTTACAAGAGTATAGCCAAGATGAGCAAAAGACCATTGATTTGGCTTCTTGTTGTTGAGTGTGTGCTTATCTGTTCTGTGTTCTACTCTTCAAGCTAGAAATTTTGTCTTTTCTCAACTCAATGGAATGTCTAATGGACGTTGACTACATGTAGCTCTATTAAAGAATAGCAGTAACAGTCATAAAATCATAGTAACAATTTTTCATACACATCTAAACAACCAATGCTGTATATGTATAATGCTTCGTGATTTTTTAATGAGTCTTGTGTGATTTCCAATAGTATTGCCAGGTTTAGCAAATAAAAACATGATGCCCAATTAAATTTGAGTAGTAGACAGACAACAAATAATTTTTAAGTGTAAGTATGTCCCATGCAATAATTGGGACATACTTATACTTCATGGTCTGTCTGAAATTCAAATTTAACTGGGTATCCTGTATTTTATCTGGCAACCCTATTTCCCAGCCAGCTCTACTGTGACCAAGAAAAATAGTGACAGTGCCCATTATTTCTATTGCCTACAGATGGTGAGAAGAATGTCAGGATAAGAAGGTATGCACTGTTGGGCAGGAAACTAGACTTACAGGTGGCAAGTCAACAAGTGAGCTCTTTCCTGTAGGTTTGATCACCCTGAGTGACTGGGCAGCCGCTGTGGAGTCCGTGTTGCATCTGGGACTACCATGGCGGATGCTAAGGCCACAGCTGGTGAACAGCTCAACAGATAACATGCTGGAGTACAAGTCCTGGCTGGAGGACTTAGCCAAAGAACAACTGAGCCATGAGGTAATGGTGTGAAAATGGTGGGTGAGGGCAGATTGTGGACCATGAAGTCCCTTATGGAGAACTTTGAATCAGAAACAACCAAATATTGATAACCCAAAAGGGAAGGGTGAGAAAAGGGAACAACTATTTGTTGAGTTTTTATGTGCCAGACTTTGTGTTAAGTGATTTAAATATGTTGTTTCAGTTTGTCCTCAAAACCACCTCAAGAGGTAGGTATCATCAGCACCATTATACCCATGAGGACACTGCTCACAGAGGTTAAGCAGCCTCCCTGGAATCACAGAGCTTCTAAGTTATAGAACTGGGATTCAAACCCAGGTCTGTCCGGCTTCATTGACACCAAGCTTCTTGCTCCATGTAAACAAGTATTTATTCAAGAAATATTTATTCAATGTATAACGTATGTGAAGCTTTGGGCTAGGCACCTTTTTTAAAAAACAGCTTTATTGCAATATAATTCACATACCATATAATTCATCCATTTAAAGCGTACAATTCAATGGTTTTTAGTATATTCACAGATATGTGCAACCATCGCTATGGTCAGTTTTAGAACGTTTTCATCACCGGCTAGATACTTCTTAAACTATTAGATTATTTGGTACATTGAAGGGCATTGGGGGTGGAAAGATGGTAAAACATCTTCAGGTTTTTTCAAGAGTGTCTTATCTTTGGGGTTGATTGTATGTTAAGTATATATTAGAACAAGCCTAAATATAAGATATAGAAGCAAAGTGAGTTTTTTCTTGCAGAACATACAGTCAAGTTTGCTGGAAACACTGTATCGAAACAGATCCAACCTGGAGACCATTTTTAGGATCATAGACAGCGATCATTCAGGTAAAGGCACTCATTATCCTCTAACTATCTACACACGACAAGTATTTACCTCTCACCCTTTAGTCTCCTACCTCATTACTTAGCTCGCTACTCAAGCACTTTAGGAGCAAAGTCAGTAATGGCAATGCTTATAACTGGCAGAAACTAGAAGGACTGAAGCAAACCAGCAGTCTGTGTAGAAGAGGGTTGGATGGAGAAGAGTGAAGACAAGCTGAATGAGAACTTCCTCCAGGAAGAAGAGTTGTTAGTAGATGTGATATTCTGTATGGGTCTATCAAAGATAGATACAAAGTAACGAAGACCGCCTAGACAGAAAGGCGCTTTCAGTTTCACTCCCGAAGTATCTTTAAAAAATCCTGTTATTTTGAAATAATTATAGAGTCACAAGAAGTTACAAAAAAATTGCAGAAAGGTCTATATACCCTCAACCTGTTCCCCCAAAGGTCCAAAGGCCTTTTTCAATGTTACTACTGTTTTATTTTCTTGAGGTATAATTCACATACCATATAGTTTACTCATTTAAAATGTTCATTCAGTTCATGGGTTTTAGTATATTCACAAGGTTGTGTAACCATCATCACTATCTAATTTTAGAACACTTTCATCACCTTAAAAAGAAACCCATACCCGTTAGCAGTCACTCCCCAGTCCCTGTCCCTTCTCCACGAGCTCCTGGCAACCATTAATCTGCTTTCTGTCTCTGTGGATTTGCCGATTCTGGACATTTCATATAAATGGAATCATACAATCTACGGCCTTTGATATCTGGCTTCTTTCACTTAGCAGAATGTTCTCAAGGTTCATCCGAGTTGTAGCAAGTATCAGTTCTTTGTTCCTTGTTATAGTGGATAACATTCCTTTGTGTGGTTGTACCACATTTGTTTATCCATTCATTAGTTCATAGACATATGGATTGTTTCCACTTTTTGACTATTATGAATAATGCTGGGGCCAGCCCTGTGGCCGAGAGGTTAAGTGCGTGCACCCCAATTCGGTGGCCCAGGGTTTCGCCGGTTCAGATCCTGGGTGTGGACCTGGCCCCGCTAATCAAGCCATGTTGGGGTGGCATCCCACACAGCACAGACAGAAGGACCTACAACTAGAATATACAACTATGTACTGGGAGGCTTTGGGGAGAAGAAAGAAAAAAGAAGATTGACAAGAGATGTTAGCTCAGGTGCCAATCTTTAAAAAAAAAAAAGAATAATGCTGCTATGAACATTCACGTACAACTTTTTGTGTGAACACATGTTTTCAGTTCTCTTGGATGTATTTCTAGGAGTGCAACTGCTGGATCATATGGTAAAACTATGTTTAACTTTTGAGGAACAGCCAAACTGTGCCTATACCATTTTACATTCCTATCAACAATGTATGAGGGTTCCAATTTCTCCACATCCTCACCGAAACTTGTTTATTTTCCTTTTTTTTTTTTTTTACAGCCATCCTTCTGGTTACGAAGTATCTCATCATGGTTTTGATTTGCATTTCCTTAATAACTAATGATGTTAAGAATCTTTTCATGTGCTTATTAGAAATTTTTATATCTTCTTTGGAGAAATGTCTATCCAAACCCTTTGCCCATCTTTTACTTGGGTTGTCTTTTTACTGTTGAGTTGTAAGTGTTCTTTATATATTCTGGATACTAGACCATTATCAGATTTATGTTTTGCAAATATTTTCTCTGATTTTATGGATTGTCTTTTCACTTTCTTGGTAGTGTCCTTAGATGCACAAAAGTTTTTAATTAAAAAAATTCCATTTTATCTTTTTTCTTTTGTTGTTTGTGCTTTTGGTGTCATAGCTAAAAAAAGTTATATAATCCAAGACCACAAAAATTTATACCTGTAGACACAGACTTCTGAGAGTTTTATAGTTCTAGCTCTTACAGTTAGGTCTCTGATCCGTGTTGAACTAATTTTTGTTTATAGTGCAAGGGAGGGGTCTAGTCATTGTTCTGCATGGGGCTATCCAGTCGTCCCCTACCATCTGTTGAAAACACTATTCTTTTCCCATTGAATGGTCTTGGAACCCTTGTAAAAATCAATTCACTGTACATGTATAGGTCCAAAGGCTTCTTATAAGCAGAATATGTTAGTGTATGTTTGGGATGATTTAATGTAGGATTTCTCAGCAGTGGCACTATTGACATTTTGGCCTGAATAATTCTTTGTTTTGGGGTCCATCCTATGCATTATAGGACATTTAGCAACATCCTTGGCTTTTACCTAATAGATGCCAGTAACACCCCACCCCCACCCCAGTCATGACAATCAAAAAACGTCTCCAGCCATTGCTAAATGTCCCCTAGAGGGAGAGGAGCAAAATTGCTCCCAGTTGGAAACCACTAGTGATCCAGTGGTTTTGTGCCATTCCCTTGGGGACTTAAACTAGGTACTAGGCCTTGGGTGTCTTTGTCTGTTTAACAGCAGGGAGCCGGTGTCCTTGCAAGAATGTCAGAGGAAATGAACGTTGAAAACACTGACTCACTGAAATGATTTCCTCTCTCTGGTAAGGGTTCATTTCACTGGACGAGTTCAGACAGACTTGGAAACTGTTCAGCTCTCATATGAAGATTGACATCACGGATGACTGTATCTGTGACCTTGCTCGGAGCATTGACTTCAACAAGGATGGCCACATTGACATCAATGAGTTCCTGGAGGCCTTCCGCCTTGTGGAGCAATCCTGCTCAGAGGGCAATGCCTCAGAGTGCCCACAAGCCACAAATGCTAACAGTGGCTACAGCAGGCCAGATGCACACTAACAACAGCCTGGTCTGCACCGCCCAAGGTGCCTCACAAGCAATGCCAAGCTTGTCGCTGGAATATCTCCCTTATTCTCCATAGATCTGTGGTTCTTTATGCTGAGAGTTTGCCTACCAGTATGCTTCAGAATCACCTGTGTATTTGCGGGTATGGCGTGGGGTTAGTGTGTGTGTGTGTGTGTATGTGTGTGCGTGTGTTTGTGTGTGTGTGTATTTTTAAATATATAGACATCCCAGACCCATCTCAGGATTTTCACAAGGTAGGACCCAGGTATAAGTATTTTTTAATTCTGAATTCTACCCCAGTTATGAATCACTGATAATTAAACCCCCTTATTGTTTTCATTTTGTATCTTTTATTTTATTGTTTTTAAAATGTCATATTAGTAAAAGAAAATTATCAAAAATTGTTTCTGTAATCTCATCACCCAAACATATGAATTCTTTTCATTGTTTACTTTTTCTTGTTATAACTATAGTAGTGTTTGTATAATTTAATGTTCTGCTTGTTTTTAATGAATTCACATGTAATTGTAAACACTTTCCTGTGTTGCTACACAGTCTTCATGATTATTAGTTTAATGCCTGCATGATTTTCTTTCAAATGGATGCAGTATAGTCTATTCAGCCATTCTCCAATTGTTAAACATGTATATTATTTCCAGTGTTTCATTATTATAGATAACGCTGTGGTTAATAACTTTGTGCATGTAGCTCGTTTTACACAAATCTTTTAAATTATACATTTTCTAAGGATAAAATCCCAGGAACGGGATTACGGAACTGGCTCACATGACTGTGGAGATCTTTAGTAGCAAGCTGGAGACCCAGGAGAGCCGATGCCGTCGTTCCAGTCTGAGTCTGAGTCCAAAGGCAGGAGAAGATGATGTCCCAGCTCAAAGACAGGGAAGCAGAGACAGAGAATTCTTTCTTCCTCAGGTTTTTGGTCTATGAAGGCCTTCAGTGGATTGAGTGAGGCCCACTCACATTGAGGGGGCAGTCTGCTTCACTCAGTCCACTGATCAAACACCAATCTCATCCAGAGACGCCCTCACAGACACACGCAGAAATAACGCTTAACCAAATATCTGGGCACTCCATGACCAAGTTGACACATAGAATTAACCATCACAGGGCTGAATATTTTTTATGGCAATTTGCTTTTCAGAACTGAGCATACGAATTTCGCCATAAACTCACAAGTTTGAGTGCAATCATTTCTAAGTTTTGCTAAAGGTAAACAATGGTGCTTCCATGCTATTTTAATACGCGTTTCTTTGATTAGTATCTCCCCTACCTCATTTTATTTGTAAAGTAAGGAAATTGAGGTCCAGAAAACTAACTGGGTATATGATCTGGTTAATAACCCAGCCAGGGCCAGAACCCATGATCCCTGGCTCCTTCCAGTGTTTTCCAGTTTTGCCAAGACTATATCTTCGGTTGGTTTTACTGCAGACAATCCCTGGTTGCTCCCCTCTTTTCTTGTGTGGCAAACAGACCCTAAAGTGCCCCCACCCCCGGTGATTTCCCGCCTCCTGGTGTTCACGCCTTCGTGTGGCCACCTCCCTGTGAGAGCAGGCAGGATCTGTGACTTGCTTTGAACCAAAAGAATATGGCTAAGGTGATGGCGTGTTCCTCCTGTGATTATATCACGTTATATCAAATTCCATGTTAGTCGACTGGAACAAGAGATTCTCCTTGCAGGCTTGACGAAGCCAGCAGCCATGCTGAGGGAATGCACATGGCAAGGAACTTTGGGTGGCCCGTAGGATCTATAGACAGCTTCACCTGATGGCTCAAAAGGCAGGCCTTTCAATCATGCAGCTACAAGAAAATAAATTTTGCAACAACCTGAGTTAGCTTGGAAGCAGATTCTCTGAGATGTAGTTGGGCTTCTGGATGAGAATGCAGCCCAGCCAACACCCAGCCACAGGCCTGCGGAATCCTGAGCTGAGGACCCAGGACAGCTGTGCCCGGACTCTTCACCCAGGAAAACTGTAAGATAATAAATGCGGGTTCTTTTAAGCCACTGTTTGTGGTCATTTGTTCCAAGGCATACAAAATGAACACACTAGGCTTCTTGGAAAACTTTACTTTCATATTCCACTACTCCGGAAAAGTCTGGATTTCCACCAGTGGGTTCAATCCAGAGAAGAGTCAAGATGTCTTATGAAAACATGTGACCCATGGGTTTATGTTGCCTGACTTAGTAACTGAGAGACCAAGGATGTTAGTGAATTCATGTTTGTATCTGTCTGCCATATCCTGTGCAAACAGCTCGAACTGAGCAAATAAAGTGCTTGTTGTTTTCACTACATCCTCCACTTCATTGTGATTAAAGGGAAAATATCTTCTGGGGCTTCAAAAGAATAAGACGACTGTTCTGAGACAACAAGTTAGTGCCCTGGGGATTTACTCATGTATCAGGATATATTACCGAGAGCAGCCCCTGACGACCGTCTCTCTCCAACCAAAGGCAAGGGTGAGGCTTATATAGGCAAAAGCCACAAAGTTTCACCAGGCAAGGTGATGGGTCAATCTAAACAAGTCCTTGGCTCGTCGATTCAGGATTGGTTGGTTGTCGTGGAGCTTGGGGGGTTGATTGCTGAACTCGCAGTTCCCGTCTTGAGTCTAAATAGCACAGTCACAAATTCACACCAGGCTGTTCTGCTCACTCTGACCAGTTTTCTGTGAAGCGATTGCTCTGGTTGCTTGTTCTTCACGGGGCCTCACTGTTTGCTGTCTGACACCCTTCAGGCTCAGTGTCCTACCGTGGGCAAGTCCTATGCACACACTCAAGGCTCAGAGAAAATTCCTTCATCAATTAGCATAGTGAATTAATAGGGCATTGGCTTCAAGGCAGTTTTAATTTAAAAGGAATTTAAAATTTGTGCTAGGAAGAAATAGCAAAATCATGCCTCTGATCCAGTGATTTAGGCTTAACTGCTAATTAAAATCATCTGGGGAGCCTTTAAAACATAGGAAGCTTGTGGCCCCACTCCAGACCAATTAAATCAAAATCTCTGGGTGAGAGACCGTGCTATTGATAGGTTTGAAATCTCCCCGGGTGATTCTAATGTGCAGCCAGGCTCGAGTACTGCTGATCTAATTGTTTACCCTGCAAAAGTGAAGGGAGATTGCTTGGTAAGACTTTAACTGCTATTTGCACTGGTATAGCCGTAAGCACGAGAGGCCAATTCAGAAACCTAACATTTTTAGATTTAGATGAGGAAACTGCCAACTACGCCCAAAGAGTATTGACAGAGACCAGAAAGTCTGATGTCGACAGATTAAATACACGTACTTCTCCATTTGCATGTTTAATGAGCGTCTCAAAACTTAACATTTCCAATATAGGTTCCTTATATTCCCCTCAATCTGTTCCTCTTATGATCTTTCCTATCGGATTAAATGTCAATTTCATTCTACCAGTCTCCTTCTGCAAGAAAAAAACCAACTTGACTTCTCTTTTTCTCGTTCCCCACGTCTGATCCATCAGAAAATCTTGACTCGACTTTCCAAACATCCAGAATTGAACCCCTTCTTATTCCTCCATTTCTACTTCCATAATCTCGGCCATATTATTTTTCATCAGTCTCCCCATTTCCTCCTTTACCTATATTGCAGCAATTCTTAAAATTTTTTATCACAGGATCCTTTTACACTGCTAAAAATTATTGAAGATCCCAAAAAACTTTTGCTTAATTGGATTATATCTATTGATATTTACTGTATTAGAAACAGACAAATATTTAAGATACTTACTAATCACTTAAAAATAAGAATATACCTGTTATATGTTAACATCAATAACATATTTTTAAAGCTTTTATTTTGAAATAATTATAAACTCACAAGAAATTTAAAAATAATAGAGAGATCCCATGTTCCCATTGTCCAGCTTCCCCTCGTGGTGACATCTTACTTAACTATAGAGCATTATCAAAACCAAGAAATTGATAATAAATAACATATTTTAAAGAATATTAACTATAGATCCCCAAACAAACAAACAAAATTACTGAATGGCATTGTTTTACTTATTTGCAAATCTCTTTAACGTTTGGCTTAATAGAAGACAGCTGGATTTTCATATCTGCTTCTGCAGTCAATATGCTATGATATGTTTTGTCAGCTGAAGTATATGAAAAAATCCAGCCTCATATAGACGTGTAGTTGAGAAAGGATGGAGTATTTTAATAGCCTTTTTTAGATAATTGTGGATATTCTTCTTTGATACTATGCCAAAACTTGACAAATGGTAGTTCTTTTTGTTGTTGTTTTTGGTGAGAAAGATTGTCCCTGAACTGACATCTGTACCGATCTTCCTCTATTTTGTATGTGGGATGTGCCACAGCCTGGCTTGATGAGCCGTGTGTCCGTCCATGCCCGGGATCCGGGCCTGTGAACCCCAAGCCACTGAAGCAGAGCACACAAATTTAACTGCTATGCCACCAGGCTAGCCCTGACAAATTGTAGTTCGTAAAGGATAGAAGACATGGAGAATTTAAACCACGTCAATAAACTTTTCATGCTGTTAGGACCACCAGGAACACACCTATAACTGGACAAAGTCAGGTTTGCTGAATGTTCCAGTCTAGCTGACGGCAGCCCCAGCTGATAACACACGGAGCAGAAGGCTCACCCAGCTGAGCCCACTCAACCTACAGACCTGTGAAATGTCGTAAGAGGTTATTGTTGTTTTAAGTCACTGACTTTAGAGATAATTGGTTTCCTGGCAATGAATAACCCAAAACATTGCCAACCAAGGAATTAAAGTTTAGCTGTGTTAATCAGAATCGAAGGATAATTTCAGGAAGGGCTCATACTTCCCAGAGACGTTTTCTAAGCATACACTGTTAGTCATGAAAGTCTTTCTCTGTTTTGGGATTTTTGACATGTCTTCAAGTTGTAAGTAAGTATTTGGGGATTTTTGTTGTTGTCACTGTTGCGTTTGTTTTTAAACAATTGCTGATGCTGGACGTGAACTCACACGCAGGTATGATTAGGGTTCCATAAATCTCTAAGAATCATTGTTTTAAATTTCAATGTTTACCTCTGTAGGACTCAAAACCCCTTTAATCTGTATTTTAATGATCAAAACATAGGCATAAAGTCCTTAATCCCTGGGTTAGTCTCGACGCTTAAGCATTATGAGGGACTTTAGACATTAATTGCAACCTCAAAACCACTTGCCTCGCAGGTGTCTGCTGAAATGCTCCAGGAAGGAGGGCAGTGCTCCTAGAAGCAGCCAGTTGTGTTTTCAGAAAAATATATGTGTTTGAAAGTGTTTTTTCTTTTTTTAAAGATTACATTTTTCCTTTTTCTCCCCAAAGCCCCCCAGTACATGGTTGGGTATTTTTAGTTGTAGGTCCTTCTAGTTGTGGCATGTGGGACGCCGCCTCAGCATGGCCTGAT